CCTATAATATTTTAAGTTTAAGTTATGTTATACTGTTCTCATTGTTGTAGGGTTGGTAAGATTTTAGCACTATTGCAACCATATAATTAAACTTAGGCACATGCTAGTCAACCCTCGGATAATATAGGTGATCAGGCTATATCTTCCTAGTTTTGACCATATGTCTCTAAGCCCACTTGCATTGCCCAACAATCGTAATTCTTTTGTACTGTCCTAGTGACACTGATTTTAGTATGAATGCAGGCACGTATACTTTATTAAATATTTTATTATTTAAAGTATAAACTCTTGGTCAGAGTATTTTTATCCCTTATGTATTTATAGTTAGTATATCTTTTATGGGTTGATATACTTAATTCACTATAAACAATGCTCTGATACCAATCTGTCACACCCCAAAACCAAGAACGGCGGAAACGTTCTGGGGCGGAGGACGTCATGTACAGTATCACAACAATGAAAAGTAGTAAACAAGCAACAACATCATCCATTGCATTAATAATATAATTATTATACAAGTGTTCTGTAAAATTTTGATAAACACTAAAGCATAAATCAAAATGAAAGATGAGTCTTGTACGAGCTCCATCTTCCTTTCTCCTTGCATCGGTACCTGTCTATAATGACCTGAGGATACAAGTAATTTTGAAAGCGAGTATCAGCTTTGAAGCTGGTGAGATCATAAGTATTTTAGTGTCTTAATTTGTATGTAAGAATTTGTAAGTTTATGAACTGTAAGTATTGAAAATGTATATGAACTGTAAGTTTGAAAATGTTTTGTAAAACAATTGTAAACGTTTGAAAAACTCTACAAAATCCCTATGATTCCTACTATTATATAAGGGTGTCTTCTACCAAGACTTAACTGTTCTCAATGTAGTCTTCTACCAAGACTTAACTGTTCTAAATGTTCGTTTCATGTAAAAGTGTGTAATTTTCCCAAGTGTAACTATCATTAACAAAATATAGTTTTTACATTAAAGTTTAAGTGAAAAGATCACTAAATATATGTACAGGGAAAATTAATGTAGTACTAAAATGTAGCGTTATAAGAACTACTGCTGTACTAACTACCTTAAACCAGATTTATATTAAGGTATTATGTGATTAATTGCACCATACTATTGACTGGTAACAACGACATACGAATGGTCGTAAAAACGGAATGACGTTTTGCACCCGCACACCTGCAGGTCCCGCTGTAGCTAGCAGCAAGGTGTAGGATAGTGAATCCAGTATAGATCTATACGCAAACTCACGATCTCCCTCCAAGAGACTCTGGCTACAACTCGGGCCATGACATTTAAGGCATGCTCCGATACAGTGGATCACAATTTTGTTAACGTATTCATGTATATGTACTTATGTAAGCGTAATCATGTAAAAGTATATGAACGTATGCCTTTGCTACCCAAAGGCACTGAACTGACTGAAAGGAACTATTATGTCCATATGTGTACACATGATATTAATTAATTTTTAAACGGCCTTCGAACGGTACCCGATATCCCACCAGACCACATCCAAATTGAGGAAAAGGAAATAGGGTGGATAGCCTTCCTAAGTCCTTTAAACATTTCTTATATAACCATACATATAGAGGCATGTAATTTACAATATAAAAGCATAAAATAAGTTTTGTAAAACCTTTGAACATAAATATTTTCTAATAAAAGATCAAATTGATGTCGATCTATAAAAGGGTTTTGAAGGCATGGGTTTTATAAAACGGTTTAGTATAAAGAAACATTTGTTTGAAACACAATTGTAAATAAGTTTGAAATGTAATATATAGAGTAAAATGTACAGTGTAATAAGGAGTTTTAAACATATAAAGTGTTTATGAAAATCATTTGAAGGAAACTGTTTGGTAAAACAGCTAATGAGTAGTAAATCATTTGAATGCTGCTTATTAATCACATGTGATTGATATAACAAGTAGCATGATTCTACTTGTATCCCTCCCATAAAACATTTAAAAATAGTTAAAACATTGATTAAGGGGTATGAACTCACCTGCAGTAAGTGATTGGAATTGAATGGAAGGTTATCGTAAGGAATGATCGGACAAGTGCTTGGTGTCAAGTGAAGACTTTAGACACACACAATGATCCTAATTACATATGAAGATATATGTATATAAATAATTAGTGATTAAAACACTAATTATACAAGTATACGCATTTTAATGCGAGGAAAACGCTTTTGGTCAAGTGTTAGGAGACTAATGGGTTGCAACAAAGGAGTGCAAGACCTCTAATGGGAGTTTATGGTCAAATGCCCATATGTTTTGGATTTTATGACCTAGGGGAGTAAACTCCTGGCCGTAAACTCTCAAATAGATCTCTAAATGAAGCCTATCATTTACACAACTAGTTTGGTGAATTGTTTCTAGTCTTAATCAAGTGTTTGGGTGACATTTCCCCCCTTTATAGGGGTTTACGGCAATGGGACCATATCCCATGGAGATTACGGCCGTAATCTCCTTTGGGGAAAGGTTTATGGTGTTTTCAAGTCCCTAAATTATCAAGGAATGCATCATGGCAACTGGCCAAGGCTTTAGGAGGATTTATGGCACCATTTGGCACCATTTATTGGAGTTCACGACCCTGGAACATCTTGGGCCGTGAACACCCTTTTCTTGGTGTTTTAATGGTGTTTGCTAGCCCCAAACACACTAGGGTACTTGTCCTAATTTGTCTCTTGGCTTAAGGAAGGTTTTTAGGGCATTTTGTCACTTGAGAATGGAGTTCACGGCCCAAGAACTTCCTTGGCCGTGAACTCACTTTCACCATTGATTCTCAATTGTTTTGGTGGTCTAAACATGTAATGATAGTCCCTATGTCGAGTTCCAAGGCTTTGAGGGACATTGGGCACACTTTTGGCCCTTAAAATGGAGTTTACTCTCCAAGTGTTCTTGGGCGGTAAACTCCCGAATCTTGGGGTTTTGGTCCGATTTTGATGTTTCTAAAGACAATCTAAGCTATATAGCATAACCAGATCCAAGTACTCACAATTTGGGATAAAAACCCGAAGATCCGTGAGAGAGAATTTTGACTTTTCTCTAAATGGAAATGTAACTAATGAACCAATATGGTTCAGTTTTTTTTATATATAGTCCTGGGATTCTTGGCAGAAAATATTTTAATTCCTGGAATGAACTCTACTATCCTAGAGTATTGGAATAACAATGTTGCACAAAACCCTAGTGCATCCACTCTCTTGATATCTCCTTAAGTGTAAATCCTGAAAAACTGCCAAACTTATACCCGAAGTCTGGAATTTCACTGAAACTGTTCTACTTCTTTTGGCTTCAAATGGTTTGTACAGAATGGAAATTTCGGGTTGTCACATATAAACTCACCAACATTTCATATGTTGACATATTTCAAAATAACTTGTATTCTCAGGTAACAGGTAAGCCGAAGAATAAGTATCAAGTTATGTCATGGTGTTTTGCTTAGATTATCTATCGAACGGTTTATGTTATGAAATTGTAATGACTAAAACAATGTAATGGATGTAAACAATATCAGTTGTATGATTTTCAATGCATGGTGATGAATGATGTTATGATTCATGTATAATCATTGTGATGGTATTCAATTTAAGTCACAAGAGCCCTCGGATGTTTCCGCCGTCTGGTTCGGGGGTGTGACAAACCTTCTAATTGGCTTGCCCAATACATAATGGTTCTATAACCTCCTGGTTGGATTACCCCTGGTCTACAACCTTTTAGTTGGAATGCCCAGGTCTGTTGATTGACAACACGATTCAGTACAGTATCAACCCCACCATACCATGTCGACATATACATTACAAATAACATATATCCAATAATAGATAATTATGTAACCAGTCAGCAGAAAAAAAGACAGATCTACAGATCACTATTACATAGCAACATCCTAGATATCAAGATACAAACCTGATATATCGATACATCATAACAACATCCTATATACCAGAATACACAATCTAGTGGGCTGGCATTAGTGCCTTTGACCAATGGGTATTGTGAGGAAAACTCACCTCTCAGTCGGAAAAGATAGTTAAAAGGACACTTCTTTGAATATTATCTCAATCAGTTACCTTCAAATGATGTCAAATGGTGATGTCATTATGGATCCAAAATGCTCCACTCTTCTAGGATGGTTCCCCCTTACTTCTTCCTCCTTCAAGAACACTAAAATGTACACTCAAGGCTCAAATATTAGGGCTTATGTAAGGGTGGAAATTGGGTTGGAAGCTGATGAATGAAAGGAGCGTTGAGAGTTAAGGATGAATAAATAGTGCACAAAACCTAAATATTAGGATTTTAGATCCAAGGCATGTACGCCTCGGGTATGCTTGGGTACGCCCAATGTACACAAGCAACTCTAAAATTACAAAAATGCCTTTTAGGACCAATTTGCAAATAATTCTCATACCAAGGGTGAAAATGAAAATTCCTGGAAATGGAGATGTTACAAAAAACCTAAGACATAATACATCCCACTTTGGTGACTACAGGATGTCAACTTCATGTAACGTCCCAGTGCTTAGGATAGCTATCATTCGTACATCTACAGCTGGTTGTCAGGTTACTCATGATTCACTCTAGAATGGTACGTCACCACTTGCGATGTAAATATCAACTGTTGTATGCATTTCTATAAGCATGCTCTATTCCAGTCTACATGAAAGTTGTAAAATAAGAAGAGAGTAGCCTTACGTTAGCTAGATTACCATGATACTTTCCCTCCGTTTTCTTATAGCTAGCTTGATTAGCTTCTCTCTAGCGTTTTGAATCAATTTGTTTAGTTTTTGATGCTCAAGAAACATCAATGCCAAACCTTCCACTGGCAAATGGAATCATATATTTTTACATTCACTTTACTTATCCAAAAAATAGTATTTTTTTGAAGAAAGATGACAAGATACATTGTACAACAATGACGGACAAAAAAAAAATCCATATACATATTTTATAAAACAAGCTTTTACATGTAGAAAAATGACTCACAAACAAGCTTTTACATGTATAATTATCAATCAAATTTAAATAATTTATCATATATGGTTATCATCTCCATCGTACGTAGTAATATCACATTTTTGCCTGTAGTTCTTTGATGTTGCGATCTTGTGTAACGTATGGGATATTATGGATCATGTATTTTCTTTAAATGAAACACGATATAAACATCGGCGGACTTAACACTTCATAGATGACATTTCTCATGGACTTCTTGGGAAGCTGATGACACTTAATGCCCACAAAACCATGAACAAAGCGTCGAGCTGTGGTTTGAAAATATTCACCAGTGATCATTAAGTTCCGTTTTTGTGGAAATGGATGCATGGTTGTTTGGGGCTTCAAATATTTGGGAAGTTCACGTTTTGGAGGAATGTAAATTGCTTTCTCTATGTCTAATTGTAGATCAGCATCTGAATCATATAGGTTGCTAGAATTAAATAACATTTGAAATGCCTTGAAGCATGATAAGTGAAGGGATTTCCATTGTTTTGGAAAATCACTATCATCCTCTGTAAAAACATGTTTAAGCAACTCTTTCCGCTTCCCCTCGAGAAACGTTTTCACAAGAGAAATTGAATCATCCATGCTTGCATCTGAGTTTTCTTTCAAATGAAGCAACACAAGGTTCATTTTTCCTTCTTCTTGTTCCTTCTGCTTCAAAATTTATGTTAACGAATATGTACTATGAAAGAAAGTAGTTAACTCGTTTCATTTATATCAAAATGAGTACTAAGGTAAGTGGTTTTAAGTGATGACCTCGTAGCTTTGAATGTCATTGAGCAACCGAGTAGTAGCCATAAGTGACTGTGTGATGTTTTCATACTTTTGAGGCTTGACTTTGAACTGTGGTAAGCTTGAATTTAAGAAACATGAAGAAGTTAGGACCAAGATATGTGTAGCGATGGAGATCATGCCAGTTTCCATGTATTCATTCACTGAAGGTATGTAACCGTTCTTTCCCCATGTAGTTTCAGTCAACCACGAATTGAATGTCTCCCGCCACTTCAAATAGATAAATGGAAAATTTACTAGAGTGTTTCTATAAGGATAATAATCCTTGGAAAATTATATTTTCAACTTTTAATACACTTACTAGGTCTCTAAAATCTTCAATTACATCAATGTTTCCTTGAAGGACCAAGGTTTCGGTAGTATCTCTCACAAGATCATCCAACACATCGAAAATAACCTTGCTTGGTCCACTTAAGCCTTTACCATCCCATCTATCATTTAAACATAAAAATATATAACTTTTACCAATGAAAAAGACAACAATAATCCTCAAGAAGATCTAGAATGGAAGCACAATGATCAAGAAATATGGAAGTAAGAGTATATGCTACCTACGAATCGCATCAATCAAGATGTGTAATTCTTCTAGATTGCCTATCATATCAAAAAAGTCATCTGCAACTGTAATCAATATGGCACTTTTCGCAACAAGCATCCGTATAATAGAATCATGAGGTAAACAAGTACTAGCTGCAACAGAAAAATAACAATACACCGTTTTCTCCCGGCCAAATCCCATTTCAGTAAGCCCCCACTTCTTGGACCACCTACAAAAATAAATAAACTATGATAAAACAAAATTTATAGACAATAGTGGGTGTCAAAGTTTGTACCATATTCACCATGAACAAACGTATAGTGAAGTAAACTTTAATAAAAAATAAGTAACTAAATGAGGGGAACTATTCGTGTACAAATTATTGATGTTTATCCAATGTGCTATACTTTTGGCATTAATAAAACATACTAAAAGCAATTAATGGTTTTACCTTTTTAATTCGGCAAGTTCATTTTGGTAGATTAATTGTCGGAATGCGTAATTTTCGACAGCCAATTGCATAAGCTCGAAATTATGTATGCATGATAACCTATAAAAGGAGGCCTTTCCAACCCATAGAGGCCCTTCATTGTTTTGTTCAATCCACATCCTATGATCAAGATGATCAAGTCTCGCAATCCATGGTATACTTAGCTCTTCCTCAATCTACGAAAGTATGAAAACTTATAAAATTTACACAAACTACTATTTAAGTCATCCTGCATCGTTGTGGCGGATAACTTGTTTTCAATTACTTAAAATGAAAACTATCAAAAATTATTTGAGGGACCAAAAACATAACTTTAATACACATGGTAACTTCTTTGCAATTCGTATATAGATTGTGATTTACAATTGTCAAGAGTTCATAGCATAATGACGATTATACCATATCAAGTGGAATACAAACATATCAAAATAAAGTTTCAATGCAAACAACGTAAAAGTTTATAACATTTAAATAAAAATTAATATTAACAAAAACAAAAACTATAAAAAAAGTTATGTATGAGACTAAAAGCCTAACTTTAAAATATATCAACTTATAAAATACCAATAATTTAATTTTAAAATTTTAAACGTTAGAAAATTATTAGATTAAAAATTATTGAGAGGAATGGCAACAACCAAAAACTAAATCATTACTTTGTGAGAGAGAGAGAGAGAGAGAGAGAGAGAGAGAGAGAGAGAGAGAGAGAGAGAGAGAGAGAGAGAGAGAGAGAGAGAGAGAGAGAGAGAGAGAGAGAGAGAGAGAGAGAGAGAGATTACCATTTTGGATATATTGGGAAGCATGACAACGGTATCATTGACTATGTTTTTTGTGGCCGAGATTCTTTGAAGGACTTTTTTAGAAAATGACCTGGCCTCATCTACTTCACTTTCTTCAACGAACATAAGATCCGTGGCCTTGTAAACATTATGCAATAAGCTTGTGAACTGTCTACTGTTGTTTTCCAAATGATCCAATATTTCATTATCATATAAGAACCAACAAAAAGTCCCTGAAATAAAGTTAAGGAACAAATCAAGTGAAACCCATGTATGAAATCAGAAGGAAATAATATTAGGGTTGTGCATCGGTGTATTGGAGTCGTTTTTGACCTAAAATCGAACCCAAACCATAATGATCGGTTTCTGAAAATTTAAACCCAAACCAATGGGTTTGGTTTTGTTTTTATAGTTCAAACTAAATCTCAAACTTATTTCTTTAAAGATCCAAACCATATATATATATATATATATATATATATATATATATATTATATATATATATATATATATATATATATATATATATATATATCCGTTAAGAAATTTTTTTTGGTAGTAAGGTAAGAATTTTTTTTCTACATATTTTTTTACGAACAAAAAAAATGAATCACTAGATGATTCACAAGAAAAAGTTTTCAAAAAAATATCTATATGATTCATTTTTAAGTAAATTAAGAAAAAATCCACTTTTATGATAATTTTAGTGAATAACAATAAAATCATTATATAAATGAATCATCGTGATGTTTTTTTGAGAGTTTTTTCTTGTGAATCATCTTACAAATGAATCATCTAATGATTCATTTTGTTTGTTCGCGAAAAAAATATGTAGAAAAAAACTTCTTACCTTCCTACCAAAAATTTCCTTCTTATTTGATCTTGACTCTCTCTCTCTCTCTCTCTCTATATATATATATATATATATATATATATATATATATATATATATATATATATATATATATATATATATATATATATTGCATTGTTTTAAGAAAATGTTATTTTGTGTTTTAAAAAACGTTTTTAATAAATCTGTACCACCTAAAAAAGGTTTTATTATTTATTTGTATTGTTTTTCCCAAGTTAATCACACTGGGTCCACTTGGGAGGTTATTCTCAGAACATTATAAGGGTATTTTCTATGTGTCACACTTTGATCCATTGTCATCTGTTGTAGAATTTTACTCTTCAGCCATTCGGTTCTTATTTTGAGGCTATAAAAAATTATATGTGTTTGTGATTTTTGTTACCAATTATCGACACAATATAGATCATTTCAATTGTTGTTTAAAGAAAAAAAAATCTAGTAATTTACTTTAAAAGATATTTTTAATACTATTATTTAATTTTATAATAAAACAACCAATACTGTTATTGATAATAATAATAATAATAATAATAATAATAATAATAATAATAATAATAATAATATCAAAGAGTAACAAAGAAAAGTCGAAACAACTAAAAAACTCAAATCTAGATATACTAATAATTGGGTAATTCTATCTACACGAATCTAAATCTAAATACACGAAAATTAGATTGAAATGATAGATGTCAGTTATAAATTTTAAAATATTAAATTTATCTTTTAATAAAAAATATTTATTCAAAATTATTAATATCATTTTTCATTTTACCTTAACCATCCTCATATTTATATTGATTTTTAAATCAAACCTTTTATTTTCTAAGACATATATATATATATATATATATATATATATATATATATATATATATATATATATATATATATATATATATATTGAAAATAATAAAATATATTATTTTCATTAAATATCCTTACATTTATATTTGATTTTCAAATCAAATCTTATATTCCGCTGCCTCGACTGAAGGTATAACAGTTATATGGCTTAAAAATAATTGACAAGTTACTAATACATTATAATAGAACTCTTATCAACATTTGACGATAATAATAGTTCATAAATCAGTTCTTACTCGGCGGGTTACTAAAAATAATTATTATAATATGTGGTGTTTTATTGTTATAAGTTGTAGGGTGTAAAAATAATTTACAATTTACTAAAAATAATCGATAAGTTGTGGTGTTTTATGATTATAAGTTGTAGGGCGTAAAAATAATTGACAAGTTATAAGCGAGCTATGACGTATTTTAAGATGTGACATAAGACGTTAATTTATTATATATAACAGTTGACGTAAGGGTGGTTAAATATATGTTTCTAGAAACGAGTTAAAAATTATTAAATTAATCGGTCGTTAAAATTATATATTTAAAATGATAAAATATATCATAGTAAAAAATAAACTTTATTGAAAATGGATTTAAATTCATAATAAAATACCAAACGTTTATATATATATATATATATATATATATATATATATATATATATATATATATATATATATATATATATATATAGTGGACAAAGTGAATATATATAACAACCTCACGCAAGCTTAGGTATAAAACCCCTTTAAACTATATTATTTTGGTTCAAATAGAAATTGTAAATGGTAGATTTGTTATTTCTTTTGTCAATTTCAAAATCCTTTAGTTTCTTTTCCGATTAATCCTGACTTTATTTTTGATGGTAACGAATTAGCAGCAAATTCAATTGCAAATTGATTTTGGTTTGCATCACTTAAATAATGTTTAGTAAAGAAGAAGAAAAAAAAAATCTTAGATACAAATAAATTTTGGTTTGCATCATCTTCCATAATCCTAGTAACGTAGATAAAATTAGGAACCATAATCAATAAAATCAAATTTTATGTGTAGGAATTAAGAAGGAAAATAACACTGAACAAAGAAAACCTTATGAAGAAAATGTTGAAATCACAATTAATTTTAGGAAATGATTTAGTTTACAGATTTGGAGAAAATGGAGTTAGGATATTCAGATTTTTTAGGATGGAAATCATCGTAGTTAAATCAAGATTAAAAAGTTATAACTTAGCAAAACGACGTAGTTTAAGGGTTCTATACCTTTATTTTTTTCAAATGAATACAGTACTTTGAAATGTGAATTTATTATTATTATTATTATTATTATTATTATTATTATTATATGTATAATTTTAGTTTAATCGTACCTTTATTTTTTTATTATATAGATATATTTTAAAATTAGTTAATGTATTAAACTAATATATTAAGTATATAAATAGGGACAATTAGATAAAACCATTGGTTTAAACTAATATATTAAATTGTTTTGTCAAAAAGATAACTTCTAATCTTCTATGATATTAACGTAATACAATTTTTAATTTTTTTTAATAAAATTAAACTCAAATAATAATCAAGTTACTGGTTTAGGTTTTTAATTTATTTTATTATGTTTTTGTATAGTCCTAATTTTTTTTTATCATTTTCCATATGTTTTTTTTTTTTTTTTTAATTTCACATGATGTATATGTTAATTACTAATGATGGTTGTTACTTTTAATTTTTTTTAAATGATAACCTCTAAGAATTAGTATGTATACTATAGACGTTAACAAAATAATCATTTTCTTTGTATTAAACAAATAACAAGATATTTTAAAATTTTGGTATCATGATTATAAAGTATAAGGGTATGATAAAAAAAAAAACTTAAATCGAATAACTGAACCAAACCAAATGATGGTTGGTTGATTTGGCTCGGGTTACTCGGATATTTGATTCATTCGATTTGATTAACCAAATAAAGATACCTTATTCGGATAAACTGATAAAATTGAATAAACTATTTAGTTAATATATATTTTTTATAATTTATATCTATAAATAAATATTTTATATTTAAACCAATGGATTAGTTACTAAAAAAGATTTTGATAACTCATTATTTAATTATTAACCATTATAAATTGATAATTCAAACGGTTGACCATTTAACCGGATAGTCATTTAATCACATGGTTTGGCCGTAATTAGAAACCAATTATGTTAAATTTTTGTATGATTTTAAACGAGAGATGAAAAGAATCTTTCTAAAACTTATCAATGGATAAAATATGTCCACAATGCCAGGGATTCCCCATGAGGGGGTTCTATCCATAAATTCTAAGATAACATTTACTACACCTCACCAAGATGGTTCTCTTTTAGCCAAAGACCCAAAAAAACCATCTTTATCCTGGGTCGGTGTTAATGATTTTGTTATTTGACGACAGTCGGAATCAAATCGGAAATTCAATAACGACACTCATCTTTTATATATATATATATATATATATATATATATATATATATATATATATATATATATATATATATATATATATATATATATATATATATATATAATGTTTTAAAGTTTACATGTTTTAAATTTATTATTATAAATAAAAATAAGATGACAAGATTTCAAAGTTAAAGGGGCTATATATATTATTATTCTAAGTTCTAGGGTCTTAATGAAAAATTGACAATTAAAATGGATTGGACGTACATGACGTTTTTTCACAGAATTTTATACAATACACGAATTTATTCGTGTATTTAGGAGTACCCTAATAATTTGGACGTATAAACAATTGATATTTTTGTAGGATGTAGAGAGTTGATTGATATATAGAATCGTATTGCTATATGATGGGATGTTCAACCTCATCATTTCACCATTACTAACCTTTTTTCTTGGCATGCTTCGATCCTCTTTAGGGGTGGGTGGATAGAGGAAGGCTTTTAAAGCAGTTAGTTTTTCTATTTTTTGTTGTTGATGAAATTTTAGAGATTCTTCTGTTTTCTTAACCGTCACTCATATGAAATCCATGACTTTCGATGAGATTGTTGAGGTGATGTTTTTTTGGATTTCCAATAAATATAAGAAAATTAAGCTTAACTGAAATGATTGACTCCATAAACGTGCTTTGCTAAAATTCTATTGTAATGTGTTTTTCCTAACTTTTTGCTATGTTTTTCTATAAAATTTTCTGTGGTTTCAAAAATAAATAAATAATAACTCACAATTTTCTTTTCAATTTTCAAATTTAGTAAATGTTGAACTTTATGTCAAATCAACATTGTACTGCTTTTTAACTTAAAAAAGATATACACAACGAAATTATACGATGTTTCTCCCGTGTCATTCTCTTTAGATTTTTAAAACAAATGAGATAATCACATTGAATTAAATCAAACCCAAAAATACTTTGTATTTTTTTCTCTTGGTTATTTACTTTCAAAATTATTGTTGATAAGTTGGATAGGTGTGTGGTCTTAAAGTCCTAATCGTAAGACATGAATAGGATCAGTCTCTCTCTTAATAATAGGCGACAACAATCTCACGTCCGAATATGCAAGCCACTTATATTTGCATTATTAAACACAGGTGCTGGCGCTCACACACATAGGCATATATATATATATATATATATATATATATATATATATATATATATATATATATATATATATATATATATATATATATATATATATATATATATGGGAAAAGTGAATATACCCTTAAGGGTATACAAGTTTAGGTACCCAAACACACCATAATACGTCGTTTTGTTTAATATATTTATTATAATGTGTTTAAACTTCAACTCCTAAGTTGATTAACTTTCAAGATTTTCAAAATTTCACTAATATATTTATCTTATATCACATCGTTTTGCCGAACACTTATTAGGCTATATATTGTAGTTGAAAATGAAAATTACGTAAGAGGAATATTTATGTGTAATTTATAATGATCTTGGAAGTAAATCAAGTTTGAAGTTAAATTATAAGAACATTGGACAATTAGAATGTATTATATGATACAAAACAATATAATATGATAACTTTGGGTACCTAAACTTATATACCCTTAAGGGTATATTCACTTTTCCATATATATATATATATATATATATATATATATATATATATATATATATATATATATATATATATATATACTAGTTTATAACATGTGGGTACTACAGATTAGAAAGGTAAAAATAATTTTAATTAAATTATAAGGTATTATTGAACAATGATAAAAAAAAATTAATAATTTAATAAATTAGGCAATAGATATTACAAATAAATTTTTTGTTGATATGTTTGATATGTGTAAAATGGAGGAGTGAATTAGTGGAAATTTAATTAATGAGGAAAAACTTAAAATGATAAGTGGTAAATAATTAATATGAAGCTATAATTGATTGACACGTGGCAAATGTGTTACTCTTTTATCAGGTATATATATATATATATATATATATATATATATATATATATATATATATATATATATATATATATATATATATATATATATATATATATATATATATATATATATATATCCTAGACAGCATGCATAACAATTCTTTAATTAGCTTTGTTACGAGAGCAGATTTTAGCACAGTGAACGTGGTTTATGTTGAAAATGGTGGAAAGAAGCTATGAACAATAACCTAATTAGATACTTACTTGGAGATATATTATACCCATGCAATCGAAAAAGTCGAAAAGCTAAGGAATCCTTATATAATTTTATTGCTATAAATATCTTCTTATCTTGCGGTGATTCTTGGCCCATGTAACTCCTGAACAACAAATTTTACATGAGGAAGTTAAGCAAATTAACATTAACGAAAACGTCTCTTGCATCATGCATGTAACCCATGTAAAAGAGATATATCAATCACCTGTAAACTTTTCTAAGGATGTTGTCAATCTCCTCCGTAAAATACTCAGATAAGCCTAGCTTCTGCACTTGATCAACCATGCTGAGCTCAACTAGCTCTTCATCCATTGGATACTTTTCAGGAACTGCGTATACAAAGAAAGTAAACAAATAAACCTACCAAAGTTTTTACTTAAACATGTGAATCTGTATTTTACGTACCTCCGTTGGGACACTTTTGAACTAGTGAAATCAGATAGTTAAGGCACTTTTGGTTTCCGGTAGAAAGGTACGCCTGTGCAGTAGCCGAGGGTGATTGAAAAAGTGACCCATCTTCTCTCAAATGCTTGATTATAGTTTCTTCATCAACATTACGTTCTGTCATTGGAAATGTCTCTAAGTATGCCATCAATGGAGGGTATTGCCATTTATCAACCATCTCTTCCCTGAAAATTCCATTCATCACTATTTCACTTACACTTGCAGTTAGGAGTGAGCACAAACCGAACCGAAACCTAAAAAAACCGAAATAACTGCAAAAACCGAAGCCGAATAACCGAAACTGAAACAAGAACCGATGGTGCGGTTTTTAATTTTGAAAAACCGAAAAATTGCGGTGCGGTTCGGTTGTATGTTTGATAACCACACCAAGTTAACCGAAATAACCGCAAACCGGATAATTTATTATATTATTTAAATATTTATAATAATTATATTTAATTAATAAAAATAAATTAGCTACTCGAAGGAATGTGTAACTTTCATTGACGAAGCGCGACTCTAAAAAATTGAATCAATACGTTTCTCACTCATTCGTCCTTTCCACAATGTTGAAGTTAGACATTGTGGAACTTTATCAATTTTATCATCTTACGATTTTTATTGTTTAGTTTTTGATGCATAAATGGTTTTTAGTAAGTATTAGATATATTGTAATTAATTGTTTGAATGAAATGAATTTAATATAACATAATAAAATGCAACTTGAAAGAATAAAAATGGATTAAAATTGTGATTTGTTTGCAATGAAAATCTAGAAATAAATGCAAGTTGACTAAATTTTTTGTTTTGAAAATGAAAAACTGTACCCTTTTAACCGAAAAACCGCACCACCTTATTTTGCGGTTAAAAACCGAAATCGCACCGAAATAACCGCAAAACCGCAAATAATTGCAAAACCGAACCGAATCAAAACCGTAATTTTCGGTTTTCGGTTTTATACAAAAACCGCACCGAACTGTACCATGCTCACCACTACTACTTACAGTAGTTAGCAAATTAATCAAGGTGAATTGAATGTATGCTTACATGCCGAAAATTTGTTTCCTGACATGGTATATCTGAGAAATGATTGATTTTGCGTCATCAGAGAACATAAGGTCAAGACCAAATGATTCAGCAAGTTCAATGGCTGCGGGGAACACAATGAAGAACCATCTAGGAAGATCATGATGGTGATGATGAAGCAGATTCTCAGTGTTTGCATGTATAAATTTCAAACCTACAAATTAAATGAAACAATTTAAATATGTAATCAAAAATAATTTAATTACAAACCTTTTTGAACTACAAGACATATGAACAAGAAACGTAATGGGTCCAGAATCTATTGCATGTTTGATGAACTACATATTATGATAATTTAATAAGAAACAATGCATGGTGTTTATAAAAATACGTAGACGAGGGGAGTAATTGAATTGAAGTCATTGATCTCATATATCTACTTTTTTTTTTGTTTATGTGAATGGATGCATGTTGAAACAAGTCGTGAATTTCAACGTTCTATCATTATGTTATATAATTAGTCATGTGACACATACCGTTTTCTATGTTATGAGATCCCGTACCCCATTTTCGGAGCACAGCCATGGAAGTAAGAGTAGCAGGAAGAGTATCAATGGTGGGAAGACCATTAATGGATTCTCCCCAATATCCTTCTTCGTTTTGGTTCAAGAGTAACCATTCAAGGCAACCCTTAAAGAGAGGGCTATTGTGTTCCAATGTGTGAGGAATCATAGCTAACCAAGCAGTGTCATATGCAGATGGCGAAACAAATGACTGAAGATGGTGGTTTTTGGTGTTCGAAAATATCTCTTCCTTCAACTTGGTCACTAAAATGTTGATTGAGACCAAAGAAGACTCCATTATAATTTTATAAGGGACAAGAAAGATACAAAATTTTAAAAGTTGATTACGTTTTGAATCACTATGATCTGGAAATATATGAATCATCAAACCTACTTATATAGGCAAGTTTCTAAAAATATTTTAGAGTAAAAGTGCAAAATTGGTACCTACGGTTTGCTAAAAACTATACATATGGTCCACAGCTTTCAAACTTGTATCAAATGTTATGTTTTTTTTTTTTGGTGGTTATGCAAAAATTTTGAAAGGATTAATTTAAAGTATTAAAATAATTTTAAAAAGACATTAAACAAACAAAACTGATATTTCAAGTTTTTTCCTGATCGAATCAAGCTTTTTAGGAATAAAACTTAAGACATTTTAGATTTTGGAATATAAATGCTTGAAAACTTTTTGAATTTTAGTGTCTACATTATTTATCAAACCATAGGGACCTAATTTGAAGTTTTACTAAATATCCTAAGATAATTCAAGATTGACTTTTGTTAGAGTACTACGTTCGCATGGTACAATGTTTCTCGTTTATGGGGTCCCACACATGAACGAATTTATTTCATTCACAATCAGAAAAGAAAGAATTAATGTAGAAATTAATTTAATTCGTTCACAACCAGAAAAGAACATTCATATTGTTTGTTAGTTTCCCTTCTAGTCAATTTCTAATTGGGGCCTTAATAAAATTTGCCAATAAAAAAAGAATAAATTAATTTAGAATGGCCTACATTGCAAAAATAACGTGGAATATGTAGCTTTGTTAATGTACGCAGTACGTCCACACACAGGTGCACAAATCCGATTAGATTTAGTATTCCAAGTACATCAAATCAACGTGGGTTTACTTGAATTATTCTTTTTTGTTTTTGTTTTTTTTTTCAAATTTTTTATTTTTAAAATGGGTTTACTCGAATAATTTTTTTTGTTTCAATTTTTTTATATTAAAAATTTCTTAATAAGGATGAGCAAATCCAAAACCACAAGCTGAATATCCGACAAAAAATCAATAAAATCGAAACAGAAAAAAAAAATACTAAATAAACCAAAAAAGAATGAAGTTCAGAGCTTCAAATATCCATGTTTTGATGAAGATGAAGGTTAAAGATGATGATTGATGTAGATTTATCCGCCAGGTATATTAACCCAAATAACTAATAAAAGAACACATAAATTTTAAACACAAATCAAAGTAATTGTGGAGACACTACAAGAAAGGGGAACTTATAGGGATGACATTTGTTGTTTCTATGGTCGTCCCTATTGATACAATAGGTGGCAATGAAAATTCATCCATACAACGTTCGCCTTTATACCCTTGTCACAATAAATATTTTTTTTGTCGTCGTATAAATATCGTATAAATATCGTCGCAATTTGTTACCTTTAGAGACCGAAATATCGTTTCTATTTGCTCGTCGCTATACGTCCCCAGTTAATTAAAAAAATCAAAGTATGAAAAGACAACATGTCTCTCCATAGATAAAAGTTTAGAGACGATATGTCTCCATAGATATATCTATAACCTCGACATGTCGTTAACATATCGCCGCGACCTGTTGCAACAACATTTTGTTGTTGTAGATGCACCTATAGATACGATATGTCGTTCCTATAGATGCACCTATAGAAATGACACATCGTCTCTATAGGTATGCCTACATTTATACAACTTATTCTTTTTTTTTTTCTGTTTATTTTCATAGTTTTCTCAATCACAAAATAGTTAAAATTATAAATTTACAAAATATAAATAGTAAATTTAATCTCAAAACATTTAAAAAGTCTTAATACAAGTTTACCGATCACCTAATTTGTAAATTTTCAAAAGTTTTGTACAAATTATACATACTACCTAATATAATCGGATTTACTAGAAGTTTGCCAATTATTACCGTAGAGTTCGAAAAGGTTGTGAGGTGTCGAAATGTGTCTTAATCAGTTTTTGTGTCCAAACGTGTTTGTAAAGTTGTTTATTATAAGGGCATTATGTTTCGAAACTTAAGTGTTTTTAGTCCCTTATATTTTTTGTATGCTTTCTTGATCCCTATGGGATGAGTACTAGAGTTAGAGAGTAACTTCATAATTCACATCGTATTCTCTGGAACATTCTCTTTACTTCAGAAAGCTTAATCAAGCCAAACAGACGTTATCTAGATCTTGTGTTCATCTTTCTTTCGTAACTCTGATCTCGTAATTCTTACTTGAAAAAAATAACAACTACATTTTGTATCAGAGCAGGAATCAAACAGTTTACGATCTAATTTTGTTTTAGTTTCAAAAGTATTTTGAGTTTCATTCCAGATTCAGAATTTTCCGCTCTTTTGAACCTGAAAATCTTTGTAGATCTTCTATTTTGATTCGATTCTGCGTTTTGTTGTTTGATTCAAGTAATCGTCGTCAATTTTTGATACTTTTCATTGTTAGATCTCAACTTTTAAAGCTTTCTTCAAAAACTGTCCGTACAACAATGACGAACTTTAACCTGAACATTATGACGTCTTATTCTCATCTTCTCGGTTCTTCAACTAAGATTCCAATGTTAATTCCTGAGTTCTACGATCAATGGGTTGATTGTATGGAGGACTATCTGAATGGGATTGATGCGGAGCTTTGGAAATGCATAATCGGTGATGTTCGTCACCTCCTCCTGTTCAAAATATTGGAACATCTTCTAATAATCAAAATGTCCAAGAACAGGTTGAAAGATTATTGAAAAATGAAAAGAAATGTATGCAAGAACTTCATGGTGCTCTTCCACCAATCATATACAATTATGTGCGTAGTTGTAAAACTTAAAAGGACATTTGGGATACACCAAAGGAGAAATATCAAGGAAGCGAGAAAACTAAGATCGGTTCAGTCAAGCAATGTATGTTGGAGTTAGGAGAGTTTAAGCCAAAGGAAGGTGAATCAATTGAGTATTAGTATGATCGTCTGAATGAGCTCATCTCCAAGTGTAACAGAAATGTCAGCCTTATGATAAAGACTCAGCAAAGTTTCGATTATTTCTCTTTGAATGATCTTTACAATGTGTTGAAAGCACAAGAATTTGAAGTGAATAAAATTGCTGAGGAATCGAAGATCAGTCTTGGTGGTCCACCTGCTTTGATTTCGAAAGTTGCTGGTGAAGGGTTTGAGCACTATAACACTCCTATGGTGCACATGCAAGCCTAGATGCTTTGGATCTAAGTTTTCTCTAGTTATACATGCAAACAATTTTTCCAAACCATGAAGCCTAATCTAGCATACAACATAACATATGAATCATAAAACTAGCTATAAAATTACCTCTTGTTGTAGCTTGATGTGTTTGGCCTTTAAGAACTTAGCACCCCATGTATGATGCCTCAAATGGTTCACAAAACACCACCAACAATTTGGAGAACTTGAGAGAGATTACTAGGCACTCAAAATCGGTTCTATGAACTCTAAGCACACAAGGGTAAATGATTTTAGGCTATAGGGGTCATATATATATATATATATATATATATATATATATATATATATATATATATACATACATACATACACACACACACATACACACACACACACACACACACATATATATATATATATATATATATATATATATATATATATATATTATATATATATATGGTGTAGGAATCCAAGGGTCATGGGTAAACCTTAATCCATACACTTGGGCTTGTAATGGACTAACACATTATGGATTCTTATATAAGCTTAGCCAATAACTAATCCACCTTGGATTATTAGCCCAACATATATATATATATATATATATATATATATATATATATATATATATATATATATATATATATATTGATTTACATAATCAACCATTGTACATTTAATTAGTTTCTTTTGATCATTAAATTAATTCTTGACCGATACTAATTAAATAATATGATTCCTCTATTAATATATTATATTTATAATATATTAATGAATCATAAAAGTTCATCCTATCAGATTGTTTTGGTGAATTCAAGCCAAAATGGACTATGCTACTCTCGGGTCAAGTACATACCAATAATAGTTATGGACTTAAACACCTTATCGAACAGTCTCCCACTTGGATAAGCTTAATAACTATAGCTGGAAGTACAACTTTAGGAGCCGACTAGCAATCATATCTCTTAAAAGCCACTATCGAACTCTGACTTGCCGTTTTAGATAAGGGATCATATAATCATCTGTTCTTCAAGATATCAGCCTGAATAATACATGGAACAAAGTCATACTTATTGTCCAACAATTTGTTTCCTAGTTTCCGATTTGTTTGACATAGAACTTAATTGAACACATCAATTCAGTCCTGACTGGGTCCGACACATAAGTGAAAAAAAAATATCGAGGGGCCAAATATATCACTTTTAATCCTCCGAGGATAAAAGGAACAAATAAATTCCGGCTCATATGCTCGTACTAACTACTCGTTAAATCATACAATATAGCACGCTTTATATCATCAAGTTATTGATGCAGTTTCGCACTATCAATGTATAACCAACTCATAGTCAACAACTCATATCTCTTGGTTTGAAGACTATATGATATTATCGTCTCACAATCACTCGTGATAAATTCCTTGAAGTGATTCAAGTGAGCATGGGTTTAATCCAATACTCAGAACTTATGAGCACTCATGAATGTTGTAGTAATCTTTTGTTATGCCTAAACACTTCAGACAATCCACAAGTCAAATTCGTGACAGTCTAGCCTCAATACCTACTTCCCAAGTACGATCGAATGTGGATGGTTTAAATAATTTAATTATTTTGGAAGTTAAAACATGCAAAATGAAACAATAGTAAACAATTGACACAAGACAGTAACTTTACTTATATATAAAACACCTTTTATTTAATCATCAAATGGCAATTATATTTTATCTATTACAAGTTTCTAACCAGCTATCTAATCACTAAAACTAATATCGTCCTTCAACCCAATGCTCCTTGCATACTGCAAGTGCTAAACCCTACTCAGTCCCTTCGTAAGGGGATCTGCTG